ATATATATATCCGCTTCTTCAGATCGTGGTGGGAGAGTAGTGAAAATTAGAGGAGAAGTATCTATCCTCAATCAATGCAGATTTCTATACGTGAAAAAGTGGAGTATCAGAGGAGATTACAGTTTTGATCTCTTGCTTTTTTGGATGAATATAATGATCTTCTTTTTTTTCTCTCCTATGAGAGTTCGGTGATTCTTGAGAGAGTTCTTTATAGGAGAAGAAGAGACAGCTAGGCGCCGCGTATTGACCCATGGTCGTTTTATCGTTTCCCTATTTTTTAGATTTATTTAGGAGTTAGAGTTATCTTAGGTTAGGTCAAACTTGATTAGATGCTGATGTGAAGACTTCTCCTATTTGGATAGATCAAATCAAAGAGTTACGTTGGTCTGTGCATATATAATTATGGGATTTTTTTTTTCTCTTTGCTCCAACAGAGTCATTAAGTTTCACTCCCACTCCTTATACGATTTCAAATCTGTCAGTTTTATCCTTTTAGTTTTTATAAATTTCCAATCTTACTCCTAAGTATTAAATAGTTTAATATCTAATTTGTTTTTTCCTTGTTATTTCTGGGTTTTATTTAGATTAATCTCTAGGTATTCAAGGGAAAATTTGAGCTTTATAAAAACAATAAGGACATAATCAGGAAATTCTAACTTATGAGGGTTGAAGTGGCACACTGATGAATTTGTAAGAACAAAAAACATAGTTTATCTTGTAATTATATCGGTGGATTTGAGATGGCATATTGGTGTTTGCCAACTCAGGCTTGTGGGATGCGGCCTTAAGGAGTCTTGTTTAGAGGCTCCTCCCATCTAAATAAAAATGAAATGGAAGCAAGTGAGGTTTTGGCATAATAGTGGGAAGGATTTGTTTTTTTTTTCGTATCTGGATTTGAATTTTATTATGCATGTTTGTCATTCCCGCAATATCTTATTTGTTTATTGGGCTTGCAGGATGTTCAGTGGACCGTGAGGATTAGTTATAGTGCGCGTAAGCCAGCTCGAATACCTCGTGTAAATTAAAAAAAAAAAAATGGAAGAAATAAATAATAATGGCTTGCATGTTTAAGTGTTGGGCGGCATATACTGAAATCGGGAATGATGCTATCCTATTGTTAATTTTATATGTATGTGATGAGGATATATATATATAAATCAACAATATTCAAAGATATGTGTTTTTTTGTTTTAAGGGGAGGTCTTGCGTGTAGGGCTAACAATATTCCCAGTGGAAATT